ACTTCAGCTGACGAGTTCATGTTTTTGGACAGACAGTCAAACAGTGCTGAGATACATTAATAATAACTCTAAAAGATTTCACACCTTCGTGGCAAATAGAGTGGCCGCAATCAGGGAGGTGACAGATGTGGCTCAGTGGAGATATATTGGTTCAAAGTTCAATCCAGCTGACGAAGCCTCCAGAGGTCTAACAGCAGACAGCTTCATGGCCTGTCATAGGTGGATAAATGGCCCAGAATTCCTCAAGAGGCCCGAACAGGAGTGGCCAGAGCTCTTTGCACCCCAGCCTGTTTCACCTGAAGATCCAGAGGTGAAAAGGGACGTTCTGGTGAACACCATAGACACTAAAACAGAAGAACCCACTTCCAAGCTGGTGCATTATTTTTCAAGCTGGACCAAGCTAAAGACCTCAGTGGCTTGGTTTCTAAAGGTCAAGGACATCCTGTTGAGCTTAAGCAGAAAAAGGAAAGAACTGCTATCCTCTCTTGTCACTTCTGCTACTTCTATCGATATAGAGGAGGAAATGAAGCAGGCCAGAGCCGCTGTGCTTAAGCAAATGCTGTCAGTGCGCGATCTCTCCAGAGCAGAGGCTACTATTATCCATCATAGTCAGCATGCAACATTCAGAGAAGAAATCCGTGAGTTGCAGAGTGGAGCATCTGTTAAGAGCAAGAGTGACATCTATAGGCTTGATCCGGTGTTACACGATGGTTTATTGAGAGTGGGTGGTAGGCTCAGTCGCTCAGCCCTACCTGAAGAGCAGAAGCATCCCGTTATTCTTTCTAAAGGACAGCACGTTTCCAATCTCATCTTGCGGCATATACATCAGCAGTTAGGACATGCAGGAAGAAATCATATGCTTTCAGTCCTGAGACGGAAGTACTGGATCACTAATGCTAACTCGGCATGCCGAAAGATTATCTCTGAATGTGTTGTTTGCAGACGCTACAGAGGACAGCCCACGGAGCAGAAAATGGCCGACATGCCAGAGGAACGAATTTGTCCTGATCTACCACCTTTTACGAATGTGGGCGTGGACTATTTTGGGCCTATTGAGGTCAGGAGAGGCAGAGTGATGGTGAAGAGATATGGGGTCATTTTTACCTGCATGACCAGTCGAGCCGTACATTTTGAGGTGGCGCATTCTCTTACAACTGACTCCTGTATCAATGCCATTAGACGCTTTATCTGTCGTCGAGGTCCTGTGCGTCGGATGAGGTCAGACAATGGTACGAATTTTATCGGTGCGGAGCGTGAACTGAGGGCAGCTTTGGCAGCTGTAGACCATACAAAGATCCACCAGGCCTTAGTATCAAAGGAAATTGACTGGGTTTTTTAACCCACCTGCTGCATCCCACCATGGAGGCGTGTGGGAGCGCCTCATTAGGATGGTCCGTAAGGTGCTTTTCTCAGTTTTACAACAGCAAACCTTAAATGACGAGAATCTGAATACTATCTTATGTGAAGTGGAAGCCATCCTCAATGACCGACCCATCACGAGAGTCTCAGAGGATGCGAATGACTTTGAGGCCCTTACCCCAAATCATATTCTGCTGTTCAAAGGGAATCCTGTTCTGCCCCCTGGTGACTTTCAGGAAAATGACAACTACATTAAAAAACGTTGGAGACAGGTGCAGTATCTCTCAGACTTGTTTTGGAAGAGATGGACAAGAGAGTATTTACCTCTGCTGCAAGAGAGACAAAGGTGGTCCAAGCCTCGGAGAAATTTTACAGCTGGCGACATCGTCGTTGTCATGGATCACACTGCCCCTCGTGGCTCCTGGATTTTGGGAAGAGTCATGAGAACTTATCCGGATAATAAGGGACTAGTGCGAGCCGTGCAGCTAAGAACTAAGAATGGACAGTTGGAGAGGCCCATATCTAAAATCTTCCTTCTCCAAGAAGCCCTTTGAAGAAGATTAAAACTTTATAATGGGGCCCTGCACTTAATGGCTCCTTTCTGGGTGAATTGTGCGGTTACACAATTGGGGCCGGTGTGTAGGAGCCATTTTTCTTTCATTTAGGCTGGGGTTAGTTTGGGTCACTGTTTGTCTGGGCACAGGGTGACCTATATTCGGCTTGGCCACAAGGGGGCAGGGTGGAGTCAAGCCCTATATAAATGCACAGGTGCCAGTGCACTGGGTGTATGGGTGACAGGAGGTCACACGGTTTTTACCGCTCTCTTTACGGCCGGTGGTCTAGTTTTCACTACTCAACTCTGTAATATTATCGAACATCTTTTTTCCATTCTACTTCCTACTCCTTTCTGCTTTACGATCCAATCTGCCAATCGGGTAGCGCGTTAGGCCTGGATCCCCTGCACCCAGAGACGACAAAAGGTTAGGACTAAAATTGTCGTTACATACACATATGTCACATACACATATATCACATACACATATATCACATACACATATATCACACATATGTCACATACACATATATCACTTACACATATATCACATACACATATATCACACATATGTCACATACACATATATCACATACATACACATATATCACATACACATATATCACATACACATATATCACATATATCACATATATCACATACACATATATCACATACACATATATCACATACACATACACATATATCACACATATATCACATACACATATCACATACACATATATCACATACACATATATCACATACACATATATCACTTACACATATATCACATACACATATATCACACATACACATATATCACACATACACATATGTCACATACACATATGTCACATACACATATATCACATACACATATATCACTTACACATATATCACATACACATATATCACATACACATATATCACATACACATATCACACATACACATATATCACATACACATATATCTCACATACACATATATCACACATACACATATGTCACATACACATATGTCACATACACATATATCACATACACATATATCACTTACACATATATCACACATACACATATATCACACATACACATATATCACACATACACATATGTCACATACACATATATCACTTACACATATATCACATACACATATATCTCACATACACATATATCACACATACACATATATCACATACACATATATCTCACATACACATATATCACACATACACATATGTCACATATATCACTTACACATATATCACACATATATCACATACACATATATCACACACATATATCACATACACATATATCACATACACATATGTCACATACACATATATCACATATATCACATACACATATATCACATACACATATATCACTTACACATATATCACTTACACATATATCACATACACATATATCACACATACACATATGTCACATACACATATGTCACATACACATATATCACATATATCACATACACATATATCACATACACATATATCACATACATCACATACACATATGTCACATACACATATATCACATACACATATGTCACATACACATATATCACATACACATATGTCACACACACATATATCACATACACATAAATCACATACACATATGTCACATACACATATATCACATATATCACATACACATATATCACATACACATATATCACATATGTCACATACACATATGTCACATACACATATATCACATACACATATATCACATACACATATGTCACACACACATATATCACATACACATATATCACATACACATATACACATACACATATGTCACATACACATATGTCACATACACATATATCACATACACATATGTCACACACACATATATCACATACACATATATCACATACACATAAATCACATACACATATGTCACATACACATATGTCACATACACATATGTCACATACACATATGTCACATATGTCACATACACATATGTCACATATGTCACATACACATATGTCACATACACATATGTCACATACACATATGTCACATATGTCACATACACATATGTCACATATGTCACATACACATATGTCACATACACATATGTCACACACACATATATATTTGTACACATGAGAGTCAGACGAGCCTCTGGGTTGGTTCTCTGTGGTGGTGGCGCCCTCTTCTGTCGGTGTGTGGAAGTTCGGTCCGGTCAGACCACAGCGCGTGAACAGACTGCGGGTCAGACTCGAGTTTGTGATGAAACTTTTCTCTTTTGTTAAACTCAAGTCAAACTCAAGTCAAACACTCAAGTCTAACTCAAGTCAAACTATTATTTTACTACAGATATTGTAATACTACAGTACAGTACTACAGACAGTACAGTACAGTACAGTACAGTACAGTACTGAGTACTACAGTACTGTACTGTAGTACTGTACTGTTGTACTGTAGTACTGTACAGTACTGTTGTACAGTACTACAGTACAGTACTACAGACAGTACTACAGTTATGACACGGGGTACCTGCAGGGTGTTCTTCGGCCGCGGGGGGCGCTGTTGGCTCCTCACAGTGTAAACCGGAAGCAGGTCTGCGGTGAGTTTCAAAATAAAATCTCGTTTGTTAATTTTTCTGTGTAAAACTGTTTTTAGAGACACATGTGGGATAAAACACGACCCACTGTGGATTTATCACTACTGTGACGTCATTTACGTCACACTAACCTCACGCGCGCAGAAAACATGCGTTTAAACTGACGTCACACTTTTATTTGTGCGCTCCGCTCCGGAGCTGGTGCGCATGCGCAGAGGACGCAGCTGCAGCTCGGGCCCCAAAACAAAAGCGCCTCAGCCCCGCACGGCCCGCGTTTACTCTCATTTACCGCGCTGTCCTCTGTCCTCTGTCCTCTGTCCTCTGTCCTCTGTCCTCTGTCCTCTGTCTCCTCGCCCCGGGCTCAGACCTGCGCCGCGCGGTATGTGTCGGTCCCGCGGAGCTCACGCGTCTAGGAGCGTTTCCGCCGCGTTTCCGCAGCTTCTGTGGCGCTGCTGCGCGTCTGTGTGAGATGGACGAACACAACACCAGAACCAGAAGAACCAGAAGAACCAGAACCAGCAGAACCAGCAGAACCAGCAGAACCAGCAGAACCAGCGGCAGCAGCAGCGGCCCCGGGGGCGTCTGAACGCTCCAGCCGGACATGGGGCTCTAGCTCCGGGTTTGCAGACTCCACACACACCCGGGCCCCAGGCTCCAAGATCTGTCCCCGGGCTCCAGGATCTGTCCCCCGCAGATACCTGTCCACCAGGTGCCCGGTGCCCGTCCCCCCTGTGCCCCCGTCCCCCTGTGCCCCGTCCCCCCTGTGCCCCGGTGCCCGGTGCCATGGCCCCGGGCTCTGTGGTGGCGCTGTGCCGGAGCGTGGCGCTGTCCACGTGGCTCGTGTCGTTGTGTTTCGTGCAGCTCTTGTGTTTGGACTTCACGGTGGCGGAGCGGGAGGAGTGGTACACGGCCTTCGTCAACATCACGTACACGGACCCGGTGACGTCAGACTGGCGCACGGAGAAGACGGAGTGCGGCCGTTACGGGGAACACTCCCCCAAACGGGACGCGCGGGGGGTGGTGGCGCTGCCGCAGACGGACCGTTTGGCCTGCGACCCGCACGCGCGCTTCTCCGTGCCCGCGCACGCGGGGCCGTGGGTCGCACTCATCGCGCACGGAAACTGCACGTACAGCGACAAGATCCGCCACGCGGCGGCGCTCAACGCGTCCGCGGTGGTCATCTACAACGTGGGCTCCTCCAACAGCAACGACACCATCACCATGCCCCACCCAGGTGACCACACCCACCTGCACCCACCTACACCACAACCCACCGACAACCACACCCACCTACGACCACACCCACACCTACGACCACACCCACCTACACCCACCTACACCTACACCACAACCCACCGACAACCACACCCACCTACGACCGCACCCACCTACACCACACCTAAGACCACACACCCCACCTACGACCACACCTACACCTACGACCACACCACACGACACCACACCCACCCACCTACACACACACACTACACACCTACGACCACACGACCACACCACCACACCCCACCATACAACCCACAACCATGACCCACCCAGACCACACCCACAACCTACAACTACACCCATAATATGTGCATCATGTCTCCATAGTAACTGTTGAACATTGCACCACAGACATCCATGTAGAACATGTGTGATGGATGTGTGACCAGGACTAAACCAGGACTAAACCAGGACAGGGTGGGGGTGGGGGTGGGGGGCTGAGGCTCCTGAAGCTTCCAGGTCGTGTTGAGTCGTGTTTGGACTGAAAACTATGTGAACATTCTGCTCCTCTGACTCTGCTCCTAGACGGGGACTAGACCGGGACTAGACGGGGACTAGACGGGGACTAGACGGGGACTAGACGGGGACTAGACGGGGACTAGACGGGGACTAGACGGGGACTAGACGGGACTAGACCGGGACTAGACGGGGACTAGACGGGGACTAGACGGGGACTAGACCGGGACTAGACCGGGACTAGACGGGGACTAGACCGGAGTTTGGTCTGGATTTATTTCAAGTCCGGATTCATCCAAATAAAAAATAAAGTGTTTCTGGTTTTAGTGTTGATCCTGAACCTAAACCACAAACCTGACGCCCCAAACCCTAACTCTGCTCCAGTCCTGGTCCAGTCCTGGTTTAGACCTGGTTTAGACCTGGTTTAGACCTGGTTTAGACCTGGTTTAGACCTGGTTTAGACCTGGTTTAGTTCTGGTTTAGTTCTGGTTTAGTTCTGGTTTAGTCCTGGTTTAGACCTGGTTTAGTTCTGGTTTAGTCCTGGTTTAGACCTGGTTTAGACCTGGTTTAGACCTGGTTTAGTCCTGGTTCAGTCCTGGTTTAGTTCTGGTTTAGTTCTGGTTTAGTCCTGGTTTAGACCTGGTTTAGACCTGGTTTAGTCCTGGTTTAGTCCTGGTTTAGTCCTGGTTTAGTCCTGGTTTAGTCCTGGTTTAGTCCTGGTTTAGACCTGGTTTAGTCCTGGTTTAGTCCTGGTTTCCTGGTTTAGTCCTGGTTTAGTCCTGGTTTAGTCCTGGTTTAGACCTGGTTTAGACCTGGTTTAGACCTGGTTTAGTCCTGGTTTAGTCCTGGTTTAGACCTGGTTTAGTCCTGGTTTAGTTCTGGTTTAGACCTGGTTTAGACCTGGTTTAGACCTGGTTTAGTCCTGGTTTAGTCCTGGTTCAGTCCTGGTTTAGACCTGGTTTAGTCCTGGTTTAGTCCTGGTTTAGACCTGGTTTAGTCCTGGTTTAGTTCCTGGTTTAGTCCTGGTTTAGACCTGGTTTAGACCTGGTTCCTGGTTTAGTCCTGGTTTAGACCTGGTTTAGTCCTGGTTTAGTCCTGGTTTAGTCCTGGTTTAGTCCTGGTTCAGTCCTGGTTTAGTCCTGGTTCAGTCCTGGTTTAGTCCTGGTTTAGTCCTGGTTTAGTCCTGGTTTAGACCTGGTTTAGTCCTGGTTTAGTTCTGGTTGTTGTTGGCATGTTC